GGAGGCTGGCAAACATCCCCCAAGCTCCCAGGGCCCTTTTTAAGGTTTGTTTTCCTGCAAATACTTGACAACTGCCAAACACAGTTACCAAGAGTCATTTGGTTAGGTGCCCATGGCATGATCTATGGGGGTTACATGGGCCATCATGTTTTGCTGAAGCCATTACACAGCTACACCATCTCCCCAACACATTGCACATGCCATTTGCTCTTCCAACTAAGCAGACTTGCCTAGATAACCTTTCTTAGGACCTGCAGTTTACATCTGTGTAGCTAGTCTGCCTTCAGCTTGATGCTGCCCCCAGCTAAACAAATCTGTTTTTCACCTCAAATCTCTTGGGTCACTGAGTGCACAGTTTCATAAACCACGTAAAATTAAAGCTTTCACTCTCCCCCTTTTTTTTTTTTCTAAAGCCTCCATAGGGCCTGTAGTGACAGGACAAGGGGTGATGGGTTTAAATTGAAAGTGGGGAGGTTTAGATTGGATACCAGGAAGAAGTTCTTCCTGGAGAGGGTGGTGAGGCACTGGAACAGGTTGCCCAGAGAAGCTGTGGATGCCCCATCCCTGGAAGTGTTCAAGGCCAGGCTGGATGAGGCTTGGAGCAACCTGGTCTAGTGGAAGGTGTCCCTGCCCATGGCAGGGGGGTTGGAACTAGATGATCTTTAAGGTCCCTTCCAACCCAAACCATTCTGTGATTCTATGATCACATGTGTTTAACAGAAAATGAATGTTGAGAGAGACCACCAGGGTCTGAAACCATCACTTTTGGTTCTTACTTCTGTTTCGGTTGCTGCGATGCAGGTCTCCAGGGCTGCTGCCTGACTGGCTGTCCTCCGAGGTGGGGCTAAAGGCTGGGTTCACCAGCCCTGGCTCATCTGTCATTAAGGCGATGGCCGCAGCTGCCGAGAGCTCGGGGCCCAGGGCAGCCACTGCTAAGCTGGAGCCATGGTCTGGAGAGCAGTCTTGGGAACGCCTTTTCCGTTCCTTGGTAAGGCCATAGTGGGATGCTCCTTTACATCTGAGGAGAAGGGAGGGAAAGTGAGATATGATAAGTTGTATTTACAAGTGGTGTACTTACGAAAACAATCCAGTGCCAAGGAATCACTTGGATTACAAACTGTAATGTTCATGGTGGCTGATGAAATATGGATGCTTAACAAGAGGGAAAAATGCCAGTCCTGTCACGTTACACAGAACTGAAAAGAAGGAAGACTGTCCTTCAAATTAGCTGAGTTACCACCTTACATGGAAAGACTACTGCTGGTCAAGAAAAAACAGAGCGCCACAGCCTTGCGTGTAGTCTCATGTGTATAAACAGTTACTGCAGATGGACATGAATAGCCAGTGGCTGATGAAGCCAGAGGCCACACTCTGTCATTTCTTCCTTGTCTCTGGTCAATGAAGAAGAGCAAGGTGAGGCCTGACAGCTTCTCTAGGTCTGCTGATGAAGTAAGAGGTGTCTTCCCCAGCCCTGAGCCCTGAAAAACCTTCCTGGTCACCTAGGTGGTCACATCACACTGTGGTCCTTTGTGCAGGGTCTTCCCTTCAGGTGGAGGCCAGTCGGTGAAGGAAGGGCTGCAGGAGGGAGCGGAATGCCCAGGGTCTGTGGGAATCATGTCCCCACATGGTGCCTGTACAGACCGTTTACTACTTGACCTGCACCTGATGAATTGTTTTCAAATTCAGCCATGGAGATGAAGCTTCCATCTCTGCTATTCCAGCTCAGTTGAAACACTAAACTAGAGAGGTCATCGTCTGGGCATAGGAAGAGGTGCAAGAGGTGGAGGGAGTGTCCCACTGGCCCCACAGACCCACCAAAGCCAAGGAGGGAGGGCAGGGTTCCCACAGAATGACTGAGCACCGGTCCTCAGACCAAGATCCTTGGGCCAACCTCACCAGTCTGGGGAGGTCAAGGCTGGTTCTAAAAATAATTCCAGGGGAAAATCCAAATCCTAAATTGTGACTTGTCCTAGGCAGTGACAGAATCCTCTGTTTCTGGTGGAGATGTGCATGTTCCTAGAAGACCTGAAGATACAACATAGTAAGAGGCAAGTTACAAGCCTGCTTTGAAACAACCTACTTGTGGTCTCAACTACCTGCTCTAGATTCATCCTAAATGGCAAAGACAGGACCACGCAGGGCACTTCTTTCTTAAGACTTGTTAAGGAAAGTTGCTTGAATGAAATGAAAGGTTGTTGTGCTCTTCATGAGTATTTAATTAAAGCTATAAAATAACTGAAGAGACAGAGTGGCTCAAGGCTGCAGCACCTGCGGCTTTCCAGCACCACTTCTGCCCAGTGCCCACACTCTAGAACCTCATTCACTGCATTTAAAAAAAAAAAGAAATCCACCTTTTAATCACAACCTGATGAGCTTGGCCTGCTTTCAGTTACTATTGTCTCTTTTTTCACAGCAAAGGCTAACTGATGACTTTCATAAAAGTGTCCTGTAGGACGAACACACAGAAATAGCTGCAGAAACCCTCAGGGATTGAAAGCTCTGCGTAATACATGGCACGCACAAAAGGCAATGCATAATACATACAGTACACAGTGCTAGTGGGTTAAGTGTCACAAAAAGTAGTAGTACACTGAACAGAGGCGTTGGAAGAGAAATGATTTATGGAGGCAGTTCCTGGGACAGAAAGATGAGATGAGGACAAGTCACAGAGCTCTCTGTATCAGCTTCAGAACAGCGGTTTAATTTCTCTCATGGTATTGGTTTTTTATGAGAGACAATTGAATTAGAAACTTTTTAGCACTAAATTATAATTTACCATCATTTACCTCATATTGCTTTCAGCAGCTTTTGTCTTAAAGAGGGAAAAAACAACCCAATCCAAACTGTAGCATATTGATGCAACTGCGTGACGGCTTTGTATATGCTTTAAGGTTTGGACACGAGTGGCTGCAGCAGAAGTTATTTCTAAAATCTTTTACAAGCAAACCAAGTCATCTTAAAAGAAAATACTCCTATGGCAGAGAAGATTGGGCAACTATTCCAAAGGACCAATGAAAAGATATTTGGAGGACCTATTGCAAGACAAGAGTGCAACAATAATAATGTAAAACAGAATGGAAGAGCACTCCTGCCTGCACTACAGCAGGCATTTTCCTATTCCTTCCCAAAAGAAGAGGTGTGACACCTTCACTCTGCCCTCCCCCAGCATCCCATACTGTGGCAGGATGCTCTCTTTCATGTTTCGTAGGGAGCAGAACCACAAAAGCCTTCCCATCTGTGGCCTACCTAAACTTCAACACAGCATTTTGGGAACCCTTTCTTGACCTCTCCCACTTGCAGTAAGGTCATGTTTACTATGTGACCTATGAATGCTCAATAAAATGGTTTAAAAACAGTCTAAAAAGCCAACACAATGAAATGAACACAAAGGAATGGGTTTGGGGTGAATTTTAAGACCACCTTTGCCTTACAGAGATCCTGCAAAGATTCAGAATATGATGAGATACCTCTACCCCATGTTTTAATCTATTTGCCTCTGTTTTGCCATGCCAGTAAAGTTTCAGTAGCTGATATTAGGGCACCAGCCTTCTGAACGGGTCCTCAAGTGCAGATCTTTTTTATTCCTGGTGGGTTGCATGAAGATCCACATGAAGATCAGAAGTGGCTCTGCCCAAAGTTTCCCAGCTACATGGATTCAACCGTTGCCTGGCGCCCATCTGCACTTCGCTGCTAAAGCCTTCCCCATCTGTGGAAATCCTCACTCGCTGCTGCTGGCTGCGCCGCAGACACCCCGTCAACAGCATCAATCCAACAGCACTGAACAGAAGACGGTTACTTTGAATGCAGAGAGGGCTGACACAATTTAAGATGCGGCTTATTGGAGAAGACAAGTTGTCATGATACAAAGCACAAGGCGTATCTTTCTAACTCTGCCAGAAATAGTTAAAAGAGAACGAAAGCTCTTCAAGTATAAGCACTGAAGCTATTTCTTAAATAATTGTGGCAGGCATAAATGAACACAAATCAAGCCCTCTTTCTTCAGATTAACACAGTGTCCTTGAAGAAGAAAATAAAGTCCTACGCCCTCAAACTTGTAATAAAATCTGCAACAGTATCTCTTCACTTTCATTGTTTTCCTTGTGCTGACACTGCTGTGATAACAGAAAACAGGAGACGACTGGCTAAGTGGAATCATATTTATAACGTCTCAGCTACATTTTTCCATATGGTTGGGTTTGGCTCCCAGAAAAGAGAGATCCATAAAACAGCTACATGCCAGTACTAATTATCTCTCTCATTGTGATTATTAATCAGCTGCCTGATTTACAGCTGGAGGAGTGGGATACCTGATTAATGTAGACCAGTCAGAAGGCAAACCCAACACTATTCAGTGGCCAAGGTGAAATAATACAGATTTATGTTCCTCAGACACGCCGAACAGGGAGCACATCTGTGAGGCTGTATGATACCAAAACAATTTGAAGGCCAAAACTGAGAGAGAGATAAACAGACATTAATAACTTGTGTTGTACAGTTCATGCCATTAAAGCAGTGTCATTAGGTGTGCGCAGGAGTTTCCTCTGTTTGCACAGCAGCAGAAATGTGCTGTCCTAAATCCTGGCTGCATGCACTAACCACCGGGCAGTGAGAGGGCAGCAGTGGCTGCTGAAATCTCACCCAGGGCTGCAATTCTGGCTGGTATCCACACCAGCAGCCACAAGGCAAACCTTACCCCGCACCCTGCTCCGCATCCCAGGTTTCAGGAGCAGCGCATCCCAACAGCCAGGAGATCCAAAACCCTGTGGCTGCCCTAACTTGGTCCTACCATTTGTAAAAACAAGCTTCTGCCAAACTCAAGGGCAATAGAAACATCTCCACGTCGTTTGCAAATGCAAATGAAAACGGTGGTTTGAAAAGAGATATGTTTTCCTTTGCAGCATCCCTGACTCGCACAGCAAAGGAGGGCCTGAGAGTGAGGCGTCCTCAAGGATTTCCATTCCCCAGGCTGACTGACACAGGGACAAAACATAAATACAAAATGTAAACAATGACAACTGCATGGATTTTTTCACTTCACTTCTAGTGATCTAAATGAAACAGTATCACAGGGAAAAAAATATATGTATTCATTTATAACATATTTGCTCATCTAAAAATGCTGTGCCTTCTATCTGTGTCGCTTCACGGGCTATCCCTTTTTCTCCCTGTCTCACACATGACTGCCTGGCCAGGAAACAGGGCAAAAAACTGAATCTGGAGAGTGACAGTGCTGTGAGCCAGGTCTGGCACAAATAAACAGAGCAGAAGCTCTCCCTGCCCAGTTCCAGCAGCGCCTTCCCAACCTCGCTCCCAGCGCACCCATGTTTTGGTGCTGTTTTGCTTTAGTGCAGCAGCAATGGACACATTGTCTGAGTGCAATTAAGAATAATGTATACAAAGCACTCAAGATTGCCCAGCGGAAGAAAATACTGCATAATGGGCTGTCATCACTGACCCGAAGCTAAACCCTGATCAGGGTAGACAAGTACGTTTCAGCTATGCACTCACTGCAAGCGGTCTTGTCCCTGTGTGATTTGGGCTTGGCACAAGCCGGGATCAGAAGGACCAATGGTGTGTGTCACACACCGACCCCGTCACACAAACTGTCCCGACTGCTGGTACCCCTGAACTGACCCCGTGGGTGGGCTGATGGGGAAACTGAAGGTAGTAGATTGAAACTGAAGGTAGTAGATTTACTGGTTCTATATTTCTGCATTACTACTCTCTAAATGTTTATAAAGGCCCTCAAAACGTTTATTTCTTTAAGCAAAAGTTCCTTAGCTTAAATAACTTCCCACAAAATAGGGAAAACCTCTCAAATACCTATTTTTTCCAGTTTAATTTCTGCATATCCCAGTTATGGTTTTCTAAGGATTTTTCTGTATTTTAATGAAGCCATTGTAATTCAGAAAGCCAACCGTATCCTGGGCTGTATCAGGAGAAGTGTGGCCAGCAGGGCGAGGGAGGGGATTCTGCCCCTCTACTCTGCTCTTGTGAGACCCCACCTGGAGTGCTGCG